ATGTGATTTGTTTCTTTTCTCTAACTGCTTGTAGAACTTTGTTCTTCTGTTGGGTTTCTGGAATCTTAACTATTATATGCCTATGTGTAGTTTTTTTTTATCACAGCTAGTTGGAGTCCTGTGTGCCTCCCTTATCTGAATGTCAGGTTCTTTTCCCTGGCTTGGGAAGTTTTCTGCCATCACTTCTGTGAAGATTTTTTTTATGTCATATGTACTCTCTCCTGTTTCTTCATTGACTCCAATCAGTCTTATGTTATTCTTTGCATCATCTAGCAGCTGCTGGACTGATTTTTCATGGTCCCTTACTATTTTAAAAAATTTTTCTTTTCCTGGTCACTAGTTGCAGTCTTATCTTCTATATCTGAAATTCTGTCCTCACATTGGCTCATCCTGCTGTATTTCCCTAAAGTCTACATAATATTGAAGAAATTAGTCTAAATATTTTGACTTTTTAGATTTTTTAGCCATCCAGAGATGTTTTAGATTACTATTAAGAGGTTCGAGAGCAATTATCAATCACTAGATCCATAAGTCCTTAAATTTTTCAAAATTTTAGAAAAGTTAACTTTTTAAAACATAGTTGTACTTCTGAAAAGAGAAAGAAAATTGAGCTTTCAAATTGCTATCTTGTTTTTCTTCTGGAGGTTATGGAGTGTTCTTTTTCTTTTTTTACTTTGTGCAGATTGTGTGTGTGTGTGTGTGAGTTGTGATGGAGACCTGCATCAAACATTGTAGACAAGTCTTGTATCATTGAACTACACCCCCAGTTTAGAGTAGGATTTGTGTAACATTAGCACTATGAACATTTTGGTCCAGACAATTCTTTGTTGAGGGGCACTGCCCTATGCACTGTGAAGTGTTTACCACCATCCTTGGTCTCTGTGCACTAGAGGACAGTAGCACATCAATTGTGACAACTCAAAACATCTCTAGACATTATTAAATTTTCCTGAGGGCAAAACTTAACCCATTTGAAAGCCACTGCTACAGAAAGGTGGCTCACCTTCTCATCTTTGTCTCTGACAATTTACTGACCTATTTCTAACTCTCCTCTGATTCTAATTCAGTACACTATAGATAGTAGGACAGAATATGTTAAAAGCAAGGAAGTATTGACCTGTAATCCCCTTTCATAGTCCCTGATGAGGAAAATCTGCCATTTCTTTTTAGAAAATAAACTATCCTAAACTTTCTTAGTTTAAAAAAAGGTAAAATAGGGATGAGGAATAAAAGTTTCCTAGTACTGAAAGAAGAAATACCTATTTTACAGTTTAGTAAGACTCAGTTTTCCTTTTAGACATTACTATATAATTTTATAGAAAGTCCACCTTTACCCCCAAAAGAATTCAAATAAAACTGAATGCTGTAAAATGTGGCCAACAGAAAGAAAACTGGTTGAAAGAAACAGAAAAAAAGGTATTTGCAGGTGTGGTGAAACATGCTTGTAATCCCAACTATTCTAGAAGCTGAGGCAGGAAGATTGCACATCACACACTAGCTCAAGCAACTTAGTGAGACCCTGTCAAAATAAAAATTTTAAAATATACTTGGGAGTGTAGCTTAGCAATGGAGTGTTTGCCTGGCATATGCAGGGTCCTCAGCACCACAGAAAGAGAAAGGCAAAGAGAGAGAAGCAGAGGGGAGAAGAGGAGAGGAAGAAAGATCTGTAAGGAACTTGCTATAGTTGAGCACTATATTTATTTCTAAGGTTCTAGACCAGTGGTGGCGAACCTACAGCATGCATGCCACAGTGGGCTATTTGTGTCATTGAAAGCTCTAAAAGGTTCACCATCACTGCTCTAGACAATGTAGAATGAAAGGGAAAATTGCAAATTACTAAGACCCAACTTGGTAGAACCCATAAAAGTTGTATATTATACAGCATATAATACAATATTTACTCCCTTGTTTTTCTCTTTTTCCAAGATAAAGTGAAATCTTTTCGTGCAGCTCTACAAGAAGAAGAACAAGCCAGCAAGCAAATTAACCCGAAGAGACCTCGTGCCCTTTAAATTGGTATTTGCTGCTAAAGGATCCCCAGAACCCTCAGTGCTGTAACAATGTTTCAGCTATAAGGGCCATTTCAAAGTTTGAAATTCTAAGTGTCTGTGGAAAATGTCTTGTCCTTCACCTGAATGACATTTCAATTTTGTGAAACACTCCTTTGTCTACAAAATGCTTCTAGTCCAGGAGGGACAACCAAGATTTGGGATTAGTGAAGCTGTTTGTTTCACTATTCCCCAAATGGTGATTTACTTTTGGAGATCCTTGCCAGTTTCATTTTCTATATGAAGTAAGATTGTGGACTTGATCCACAATGGTGGATAGTAGGGAGAAGCCACAGCATTTCCTTTTAACTCAGTTCAATTTTCATAGCAAGACTGAGCAGTTTTAAATCCTTTCAGTGCATGCATACCTCATCAGTGATTGTACATACCTTGCCTACTCCTAAAGATAGCTGTGCCCACCTCTTCCTCCTCTGTGCCTTGACTAAGGCTATTGACCCTCAATTTCTGAAGCACAGCCAAGATAAATTACATTCCTTATTTGTCATTGTAAATTACCTTTATTGTGTGTACATTTTTACTGTATTTGACTTTTTGCGTGTGTGACTAGTTAATTTTGCAGATGTGCCATATCATTGAACGGAACTAAAGTCTGTGACAGTGGACATAGCTGCTGGACCATTCCATCTTATATGTAAAGAAATCTGGAATTATGATTTTAAAACCATAGAACATGTGATTATAATTTTCTTAGCATTTTCTTTGTAAAAAAAAACTAAAATATAAACCAGTTGGTGTATAATAAAAAGTAATGAAATTCTGAGAAGAGTTTTATCTTAGGATAATACATATATATGCAGTGTGTGTGCCAGTGTGGTATTAACAAGACTAATAGTGCAATTTGGTCTTTACAGGTACCATTACTTAAGTTTAAGTGTTCATAAGCACCCCAAAATACACTTTTGATGTACTGTTAAAGGAAATTGGCTTCTGATGCATGAACATTTACATGTACATTGAAAGTAGTCCATACTAGAAGTTAGTTTAAGCCAAGTGTAGACAGTACGTAATTCCCTTGAAAAAGAATTAAGCTGAGAGTTTACCTTGCCTTAATAGGCAGATCAAACCCAAGCTCTATCCAATATAATATGTGATGTTTCAGCATGATTTGGCGAGAATCACTGAATTCTCACCAGTAGTTCAGAGGGAAGGTATGCTGTTCCTTAAATGGCAGCACTTATTTTTACAGTTTGCTACTCCAAGGAAGAAAACTGGCCATTTTGCATGTAAATACTTTAAGAGATTTATATCTCTTTCTAGGAGTCTTCCCTCAGTTTCCAGGATAGAGTCCAGGAGTGGATTAACAAAAGATCTTCCAAGGATATCTTGCTTTGATTTACTCTAGGGAACTACTAGCTCATTCATGAGCCAAAGGGAAGCAATGAATAGAGAGTAATATGAGCCAGATTCTTGAATTCACTGTTCATAAAACTTAGAAGGTAGCTGTGGGGAAGCTTATTACCATGGTGAAAAGCTCTGTAAACATGAAATCTAAAACAAATGTAGATTTTTCACAGTATGCTTATTAATAAATGAAATCTATGGAATGAATTTAGAGATAATTTCCTTCAATACAATCGCCTTTGTTTTGGAAAGGACTCAGGTTTTCTTGCAGTTGTAAGATATATTCTATTTGTGTTTATTTCAGAGACAAGAGGAAGAATAGAGGACTATTACTATTGACCTTGCAGAGGCTGTTTAAAAAAGTAGTTTTCCAGACTACCAATCTTCAAAGGGCAATAAAACATTTGAAGTTGCTTATTTTAAGCACAACAGATTAGCTTTATTATTTACATTGTATGGGTACTATCTTTGGAAGGTCTTTTGATAGACAAATATGCTGCCTTATACTATGATGGCATCATCCTCATCAGGAGTCAAAGTATTTCAGAAATTAATACCAGAAAAGATCTTGGGAGGTAGTTTAATACAGTCTTTCAACTTTACAGATCGGGAAAACTAAAGATCAAAAGAAGGACTAAAACTCAAAAGTTCATGGGGTAAAAAGAAACCACCTAAGAAAGTTGAATTGAATCTTAATTTTTTTTCCTATAATGATAGAGTTGATGCAAGTGAACTTTCCAAAGTAGTTTTGTGAAATTTTTTTAAAAATCATTTCTCAAGTAGATTTGATATTCAGGTAACAAAAGTGGTTTGTTTCAGCTAAGTAACCTCACCTTATCTTCCTCAGACTTGAAAGCTGTTATCCCTAATTAATAAATGATGGTTATACATTAATGATATAATAACATTTACTATATGACTTTGAAGCCAAATTCCAAAAATAATCTGTTTAGGCAAACACTTTTATCTTCCCCACTCTAGGTTTTCTCAGTGCACTTTTGCTTTTCTAATTGGAATCATTCCTTCTATTAAGTTTTAGGTGTAAAGAAATCCAAATATCATTAAAGTATTTTTATTAATTTGCTTATGTAAATGAAACAGCTACTATAACTTTATTAAAATGTATTAACAGCATTCAGTATTATATTGCTTTAAACATAATAGCTAATAAAACTCATGACATCTATTGAAATTTTCAATCTGACAGTTTTTAAATAACTTAAAAGTAAGCACCAGGTATATGAAAAGATACTGAAGTTATATGACCCCAGGAACTTGTAGTTGTGGGGAAATCTTTTTTTGAAGTTGAAAGTAAAGATGTTAATGTACAAAACCCTTTGAAATTTTGCTAACTCTATGATTATCTCACCAAGAAAGATGATACAATTTTATAGTTGATTTCATTCTAGTTGAGCTGCTTCATTTTATAAGTAAGGAGTCACATGGCTGGCACTGCAGGATGGCAGCTGACTCGGGCTTACGCTTACCCAGAACTTTCCTGTAGTCTGTGCTACAATAGGACAGCTGAAGAGGCAGGCAATAATAGAAGAAACTGTATAACATAAACAGGGGAAAATGAGAGAAGCAAAGTAAAATTTTAAGAAACATTTGTTTTATTGTACATGTGAGTAAGAAGAAATGGTATGTTGAACAAGGGACTAGCTGAACATTTTAACTTTACTTAAGGGACAGGTGAAGACCTAAATAGGCCCATAAAGTATACAACACAGTAAACAGAACAATAAATCTATAAACAATAAACTGTTAGAAATGGTAAGTTTGAGTGCAAGGTTGTGCGTATCTGCAGCTATTGAACTTGAAGATTATGTATAGATTGAACCCTGTCCTATTCAAGCCAACACCAAAACAACCTGGGTACATAGAACTGACCATCTTAAAAATAAAGGGTAATATACAGTACAAGAGTAGTATTAAATCAGAAATACTCAAGTAAATAATGTCTCAGTACAGCAAAGGCACAGTTCATCTTTTCAGTTAAAATATATAATTCATTTTTTCTTGACTTTGAAAATTCTGTTTTCCAAGTACTACAACTAGGCAAAATGGATACCTTCTGCATTGAATCCATGCAGCAATCTGGAAAACAAGCAAAAACAAATAAGGTGGCACTGAAAAAAACTCGTAGATATATTGGTATATGGATGGGTTTGTTCCATTAATTTTATACATGAACACATCAGCATACTTATATACCCACCCACTTCTAACAACAGTCATTTAAAAAATCTTTTTTTACAACTATATAAGATATACCTTGGTTGAAACCATGTCATGCTAGTGGCTTTTTGTTACGTCTGCATGTCTTAATATTGAATTTGATTGAAATTAAGACTTGCTATCCCAGGCCTAAGAACTCACTGGCACTTGTTCCGTTTCAGTACAATAAATGAACAAGAAGCTATCTGGAATTTGAGGAAGAAGTCAGATAAATGACCACTCATCAGGTGCTCATTCTTGAATTCTTACTGAGGTTCAAATTATATACTTACACATTGTTTCTCTTTGTGGATACCTATGTACTTAGCGACTTCAGTTAGCAAAATGCATCTTTTAGTAAGAATGAAGGAAAGTAAAATTTTTTAAAAAAATTTGTTTAGACTTGAGATTATTTTCAGGGTGGCCCATAGGATCAAGTCCAATGAATTAAAATGTCTGAAAATAGCACTTGTAAATAGTGCTCAACTTCTAGGTAACATCTAATAAAGACTCAGCAGTCCTGCTAGCCAGCCAATGAAATACAGGCTCCATTTGTCTTAGCTCTATAAAACTGTTTCCAGCTTGGAAAAAGTCAAGCTAAGGACTTTTATAACAATCTACCCTTATTTTTTATTCAGCCTTTTGAGCATGGATGCTTGAAAAGTAAATAGTCAAGAACTTCTGAAAGATAGTGTTAATGAGTAAAAATTACAGGTTAATTTAGCTGAGTAATTAATTGAAGCCTTACTCTAATATAAAGACTTGCTTAGTTCAAGGAAAAAAATTTGGGCCTAAATTTCCTAGATAATTATGACATCCTTTTACTTAATATGTGTGCAGTCTGCCTCAGGCTATAAAACTATTACTAACTGGATAATCATGTATGATTTTAACTGACAGTTCATGCTTAAGATCTTTTTAACAATAGCTATTCCCAGTAAGGAAATGAATCAGATCCAATTACACATATTATGACTCTTCTGCCTTATGGGTTACTTTGAAGAGATGAGCTATTAAAAGTAAAACCGGGGTTGGGGATTTAGTTCAGTGGTTCCGCCACCTGCCCTGCCGCCTGCCTTGCAAGCACAGGGTCCCAAGTTCAATCCCCAGTACCAAAAATAAATAAACTGTGGAGAGTAGGGGGCTGGGGAAGGAAGGCAAGAACATGCACACCACAACACACTTTAACACAAGGGCAATCTTCTGGCTCGGACTGTTCATTACTACTGTTCTTAAAGAAAATGTTCATTCTGCTGCAGCTAACTAGCCTCCATCTTCTACACCAAATACTATTCCATGTCATGGAAGTGCTATGCAATAATTCTCCCAGGTAGCACCTGTATGCATACCGCTTAAAAGCCTTTAAATATCTAACTTGAAGGTATCTTGGTAAAGAAATGTAAACACTAAGGAAAAAAAAATGTAATTACCTGATAAAGTCATCCATGTCCATACAACGGGCCCGTTTGTCACTAAAACTTGTGCTGGTTAGGATTTGCTGTACTTTATCTGCTATGCTGAAATCTTCTGGTATTATCTATCAATACAAGATTCAGAATAAATGAACAACATATCTTTAATGAAATTACTTTGGCTCTTTTTTTTTAGTCCAGTTAAGTCTAAACAGCCATCATTCAAACATTTGTTAAAAACTTGATAATTTGAGTAAGACCTGGATATCTAAGATAAGTGGCTGATCTTTAGCAAATATTCAACACCTTGAATAAAAAATCATGTATATTCCCCTTTCTGATTTGGCAGTACTGGGGACTGACCCAGGGCCTTCTCACTAAGCTGTATCTCCAACCTTTTTATTTGGAGACAAAGTCTCACTAAGTTACCCAGGCTTGGCTCAAACTGGAGATCCTCATGCTGCTTTGGCCTCCCAGTGTTGGGATTACAGGCGTACCCCACCATCCTCAGCTCCATTTTTTAATATTTAAAAATCTGAAACCGTTACCAGTTTCAGACTTCACAAAATAAAACAATAACTAAATTTACAAAATAAAACTATAAACTAAATTTAAAGTAATTATTACTCCTTTCAAAATAACATCTTCTTGCCACAAATTTCACCTAGCCGGATGATTTTTCTGAGATGATCTCTCTGGTCCTTAATATTCTATCATATTTGATTCACATCTTTTACCCAAAGACTTTTCTTGGTTCAATTTAATAATTTTCTACTTAATGCCAGTATTTCATGACTTGTAAAACAGACAATACTGTGATACATTAAACCATATAAAGTACAAAGGATCTGAGCCATAAAAAAAGGAAGGAAACCTGCCTGTTTTGTTTACACTGAAAGCTAAAAAGTTAGCAGACACCTCATTATAGGTAGATGTGTGCAGTGCAAGAGCAAATACTTGTTTAAAGGAAGTCATACAGATGATCAAAGAATGAGGCTCACAACCAGAAATCTGCTATTCAGTGTACAATTATTTTAATTTCTGGGTACTTAAAAATATTAACAAAACAGTAACCAGATTTGTAACTGCTATAGAAGCAACAAACCAGGGATGATCTTAATTCAGATAGCAAATTACACACAGCTGTTTTAAACTAAAGAAGCTACACATGAAGAAATTGTAACTTTGCTGAATTGGATTCTTATTACATTAAAAACAAATGTGGGCCGGGGATTTAGCTCAGTCGTTAATGCCACCTGCTTTGCAAGTGCAAGGTCCAGAGTACCAAAAAAAACCCACCCCCCAAAAAAACAAATCTCAGCGGTGCCTGTCTCACAAGCGCAAGGTACCGAGTTTGATCCCCTACACCAAAAAAAAAACCCAAAAGCAAATGTCATTAGTTAAAAGAGGACAGTGTGAAGGAGTCTCACATCCATTCCAGAGACTGCATAGCAGCTCTACCCTCAGAATTCAGGCCAAAATTGTGCTAGTTATATACTCCTAAGGATCCTATGGAGCATCCAAAATAGTCTCATTGATGAGGGGCCAGGGATTTAGCTCAGTGGCACCATGCCTGCCTCACAAGCACAAGTTTCCTGAGTTCGATCCCTGGTACCCCCTCAAAAAAATGATAGATCGGGGTGGGGGATTTAGCTCAGTGTTTTCGCTGCCTGCTGTGCAAGCGCAAAGACCCGAGTTCGATCCCCGGGACCAAAAAAAAAGAGAGAAAAAAGAATGACAGATCAAGAGGTAAAATAGATGGACATTTTAAAAGAAATCACCGAGAACAGTTTCTACTTACAATATTATGGATGGAACAGTGAATTCTGTAGTTTTTTTCCAGTAGCTGTTGTACTGCACTTGATCTACAGCATAAATGATATCGCTATTATTCCAAAATCATATATAATACATGCTTCCTTTCAGTTTAGACAAAATTAAATCGCTGTGTTCCATTAGGTGAAATTAAGGAATTTTAAAAGATGTTCAATATGTAAACTTTAAAAAGTACAGTCCTGACAAACATCTCTTTAAAAAAAAAAAAGGATTCAGTCAAATTCCACACATTGCATTTGGTTTTTTAAGAAACAAGAGTTTATTATGTTAAAAGGCTGGCCTCTAACTCCTCTGGTCAAGTGATCTTCCTCCCTCAGCTTCCAAGTGGCTACCTTGGAGTATGGCACATGCCACCACCGTATCTTCTTAAATTCTTCACTGATATTCTCCTGCCAGTGGTAGTGAACCTAAAGCACAGGTACCGCAGCACGTACACAGAGCCCTCTGTCAGCACACAATCCAAGTCACCCCAACAACCAAGCATCGGATAACAGCTGTTTTTTTGGGGTTTTTTTCCTTTAGTACCGGGGATTGAACTCTGGTCCTTGTGCTTGCAGGGCAGGCAGCGGCACCACTGAGCTAAAGCCCTGGCCCAAAGCCTGATGTGTCTGTGTTTTGTGCTTTCTACTTTCCATCTTCCTAGCACCAATTTTCTGTTCATATTGGGGTTTTTTTTGGTACCGGAGATGGAACTCAGGTCCTTCCACTTGCAAGGCAGGCGGTAGAACCACTGAGCTAAATCCCCAGCTACAGCTGTTTTTTCTAAACTAAAACCTCAGTATTCAGGTTTAATTGCAGTGTTGGCACTTGGTGATAAATAAGTGGGTTTTTAGGTTGCAATTTGGGCAGTTGGTTTCTAAAAGGTTCCCCATCACTGTGACCTAGACCTCCACAAAACCACCTCTAAAAATTATATCTCAGCTGAGTGCAGTGACATATACCTGTAATCTCAGCTAATCCAGAGGATAAGGCAGAAGGATCCCAAGTTCAAAGGCAGTCTAAAAAAAAATTTTTTAAAATGAAAAAAACAATGGCCCCTTATAAAGGGGCCGGGAATTTAGCTCAGTGGTTTCATTGCCTGGTGCGCAAGCACAAGGACCCGAGTTCGATCCCCGGTACCAAAAAAGAAAAAAAGAAAAACAAAGGCAGTCCGCCAATTTAGTAAGACCCTCTCAAAAAGAAAAAAGGAGGCAAAGGTGGTTCAGTGGTAGAGTGCACTGATCCTTTATAAAGGAGAAATTAGTAAAATACTTACTTGAATGCTGCAGATAGTGTCTTGTTTTTCCTAACGAAAGTAATCCTTACTAGGCCATCCCATTCCTGAAATAGAAAATGGATATTCTCTTCTAAATGCTGAACTTCTTGTCTAGTCTTGCTAAGTACTGTCTTCTAACATAAAACTTTATATCTTGATCTGGCTAGCATACATGCAAAAGAAGGATGTATTCTTGATTTCTACATTTTTGTGTGTCTCACTGAATATACTTTATCCTCTTTAACTGAAAAAAATGTACAGCTGTCCCATTTGTGAACAAAGAACATGGCAGGGCATTTAGTTAAGCCTAAATATCACTTTCAAAAATTAGATTCAAAACAGACATGAAAACCAGATGTGGTGGGGTGTGCCTGTGATCCTAGCACTTGGGAGGCTGAGGCAGGAGGACTGAGTTTAGCCCAATTTAGGCTACATAGTAAGCTGAAGACCACCCTGGATTGTACAATAAAACCCTGCCTCAAAAACAAAACCAAAAAGAACATATAGACGTAAAGTCACACAGTGACACATGCCTATAATTCTAGCTAGTCTGGTCTCTGAAGGCTGAGGCAAGCCTAGGCAACTTAGCAAGACCATGGCTCAAAGTGAAGCAAAAGGGATAGGGATGTAGCTTTGTGGTAAAGCTCTAGTGGGTCTGATCTCAGTACCATCCCCCCCCCCCAAAAAGACATGACAGGATAGCTGTGCAACACACACACCTAAACCTTCCAGGAGTTATTGTCAAATCACCCCATTTACTACCAGCTTATCACAATCGTGTTTTTCTCTTAACATGACTTTTTACATCTAGTGGTCTGGATTTTTTTTAAACCACCAAAACAATTTTTTTTAATGTTAACAGTATTATCCAAGCATGGTGGTGCATACCTATAATCCTACCAACTTAGTGACTTAGCAAGATGCTGTCTCAAAAAGTGCTAGAGATGTGGCTCAATGAGGAAGGCTTGTGTACCAAAAAAAAAAAAAGGTAAGAGTATTTAAAACTTTTTATTTTCCAAGTTTTATTCAAACAGACAAGTTTTCAGTTATCATCTTAAGTAAAATGCAACAGCATTCTAATTGTTTTGCCATTTACAACTTTTCCATGTTTTGGGGGGCCTTCAAAACTCTTGCAAATTATTACATCGACTCCATTACAAGAATGTACCATAATTCACATTCTATGTTTAGACATTTAGGTGGATTCGGTGTTTTTCTGCTACTATAGATACACATCATTTTCCAGCATGGACATTTTCCTTTACCGAATGACCTAGTATTTTAAGCCTCACCTGAAAATTGATAGGTGGTGGTGGATTCTTAGGTTCTATTCTTACAACACTGGATTCTACCTTAGGTGGTGGTCTGAAGTTATTCTTTCCCACCTGTTAATCAGAAAATGTTTAGTCCTCTCAAAGGCAACTTTTAGTAATCAATAATACTCTCCTGATAGAAGGCAAAGCTAGATGCTTAAGGATGAGTTAAGCTAGATTATTTTAATTAAAAAAATCACTTACTTTCATTAGATGGTCCACACGAGCTAACAGCTGTGTATTAATTGACAGTCTGCAGTATAACTTATCCCCAGGCTTTGCAACTAGTCTGAGAGCAAATTCTCTTTGAAACATAAGTATAGCACATCTATACCAGAAAAGAAACCAGAAAGAAATATGGAAATGGTCATTTTCAACTAAAATTTTAATTAAAAAGAATTTTCTTGAGAGGGAAAACAGCAAAGTGGCACCTGTGGTTAATAACAATTAGGCTGCTCAGAAAGTACAACATTTTCTGCCTTAGCCTTATTACCAAAAAATGAGAACACTGGCTTTGCTTTATCACAGTTGTACCCTAACCCTTAGGAAGATACCTTGTCCTCAATGATCATGTGAACAAGTATTTTGAATTTCGGTAGTCCATCATCAATTCTATGAAAACAAAATCAACTCCATAGCAGAATTACATTGTGCTATGAAGCACTCTTAAGGAAGAGGTGAGAGTGGAGAAGGAAGTTGTGAACTACACTGTCCCTTTGGCTTAGCAGTTTAAAGAACTTTGTCTTCAATAAACTATGGGAAGGGTTTTGGACGCTAACAAACAGAAGACCATCTTCCAAGTTGTACTTTGACTTTTTTTTTTTTTTTTGAGACAGGCCCTCACTATGCAGTTCAGGCTGGCTTTGAACTCCCTGGTGATCCTCCTGCCTCCCAATTGCTGGGATTACAGGCTTGCACCACCAGCTCTAACTTTAACAATGAGTCACACTAAAAAATTCATCTGTGAAGACTGAGATGGGAGAATTCCAAGTTCAACCCCAACCTCGGTAACTCAGTAACTTAAGTGAGAACCTATCTCGAAATAAAAAATTTTAAAAGACCTGAGGATGTAGTATGAAGGCTGTTAAGTTCAATAGTGTACTAAAAAAAAGAAAAAAATCTGCATTGCAAAAATATCGATGTGTATGTATTTGTATACCTCCAACAAAAGTTTCAAGAAACCATAATCACCTAGGCCACATACAGTGCCTTCTGATATATTCTATGTCATTAAAAAAAAAAGGATGCTCATGACTACATTTATTTTATAACTTGCAGTTTGAAAGCCACTAGTATAGCCTACTAGAGACCAGTTAAGGGAAACACTGCAGTTATCTAGACATGGTAATAAAAAGTCTGATGTAGGCTAATGGCAGAGGATTAGAAAATAGGAAAAGGCAGCCCCCCCCCCCAAATTTTGCCAACTCAGAGGGAGAGACTTGTATACAAATTAAGATTTTTCTACACAACTTCCAGTAGTTTTTCAATTGGCTTGACTTTTATTTTCAGCTGTCTGTGTTCCTGACCTAAACTGTCAATCTTTCTTAAAATTTGGCAGTAATTCTGGTCTTTTGTCACAAACCTGAAGAAAGGTCGGTGCAGCAACAGTTTGAAGACAAAAGGAGATGATATCTGTAAGAGAATTACTACTTTCAAGAAAGACACTCAGAAACCAGAGAAGCACTTGGAATGTTTGTGACTGTTTGAGGACGTACCTGATAAGGCAAGTTTGCTACACAAGCATCAAAAAATGGCAAATCCGTTTTCAGCACATCACCCACCATCACCTGAAGTTTGCTGGCTAGGGGCCTGATGATAAGAAAAGAAATTTTGAAAGAATATTGTTTCATAAACTTGAAATGTACTTTGATTCTAACATGTATACTCACGTGCCCTGAACTCTTTTGTGAAGTTCAGCTACTAGTCTTGGGTCAAGCTCACAGGCAACTACCTAAATTAACAACAAAAACTTTTTTTTAGGTTAATTATGGAGTATAAATTCTTTAACATGATTTAACATTTTTTCCAATTGTACCATCAATATTCTTTTAACTGTATTCTACAGCTTAAAATCAACAAAGGCACCACCCAGAAAACCTAGTAGACAAGAGTATGTGAGAGTTCTACCCAAATAATTAACAGAATTATCATGTTTCATCTGTCTCCACACTTTGTAAGTTAACAGGTAATGAAAAGAATACACAATATGTGTAGTTAGATATAAGGCAACTACTAGAATGAGTACACGGCTTCTCTCATCAATGGAAATCCAAACACATGACAGAAATAATTTTTCAAGTAAATGAAAAGATACCAGATAAGGGAGAAATTGTAATTTTATTGCAGTATCAGCTGAGGTTTCACTGACTTCCAAGACCATGTCTACAGGGTAAAAACAGATGCTTCTTACTCTGTTTATATCATCTACCTTTTCTGGGCCCTGTCCAGCAGTCCAGCTCCCTTATCCTTAGACTTCTGGCTGGGATTGGCCAGCGAAAGGCATAGGCATAGGGCTGGTAACAGTTCCCTCCCCTTTCCAGAGGCCTTGGATGGTTAACAGCTTCCTGCTGTGGCAGGCTAGTCCCCAGCATTTCACTAATGTTTACTGATTCCCTTGGACCCCATTTCCACACATCTCTAGTCTTTTTATTAAACACTTCTGATAAGCTCTTCAAAATGTGTTGCCTACTTCTATCAAAGATATAATAATGGAAGCTGGGTCAGTCAAGACACAACGTACTGATAGTGGCTAGGTGGGACCCTAATCTCAAGAGTTCCAGTAACTCACTTATTTGCTTTGTTCCTCTAGGACCTGAGGGTTACTGTTCTTAATATTTTTGAGCTGAGTGTTCCCATTTTGTTCTTTTAGTGCTCTAACAAACACATAACCAATTCCCTAGGTTAAATTCCTCATTAATATAACAAATGTGGTTTCTACTTTCCTAATATATCACATTATTTTCTAAGATACAATTTCTAGCAAGAGATCAAAAATCACTATAAAAATAACAGCAATTAAAACAGAGTTACAGTTACAGTTCAGCTGAGCTTACAGTCATTTCTGATAGCAAAAGCATAAAATTTCCTTTTTACCTTTTTTGCCTTTTCTAATAACTTTACAGTCATGTTACCAGTTCCAGGTCCAACTTCCAGCACCACATCGGTTGGTCTTAAGGCAGCCTAAAAGCAAGCATAACTATTTAGTTCTCCTGGCACGCCTGAAAAATTTACACCTAAACATCTTTGTTTATTTAGTGTTGAGATTTTACTCTAAATGTTTAGATTTCTTCATGATATATGTAGTTTACAAAATTACCTCAATAATATTATGTGCAAATGAAAATCTTAAGTTCTCTCCTAACCTGGGGAAATGCTCGACTTTAGAAGTCAAAAAACTGGGAATAGTTCTTTGCATGATTGGCTTTCAACTTTCTACTTTGTAAATGACTTCAGTAGTCCTGTTAACAAATCTACATATCAACAAATTCAAAAGACAGAGGGCTGTGTATCATGAAGTTGCCTGAGAATCACAGCATGTTGGACCTAGACTTCCCAATTCTTAACCCAAGCGTATGGCTTCAGGAACATAGGAACACAAGAGAGCTGCAATATTCTGTAAGATCTGATTACTATGTAAGACAAGATTCTTTATAATCTTTCTACAGCTCCATGATGCTTCCCTTGTAACCATAAAAGTAATCTGCATCATGTCTATTTCATTTCCTAACACTCAATCATCCATAAAAATAAGAGAATTATCAACCCATATAGAAAGAATATTCCAAACAATTCATGTAGCACTGAAATACACCGAATAATTTATATGTAGTACCATATGCTTTTCTGGGAAACATACTTTCTAACGTGTAGTTTTGACTGCAATAAATACAAACTAATAGTGATATGGTGGGGAGAAAGTGATTAGAAAAATAATAATCTGGAATTGAACAAGTACAAAAGGCTAGCTAGAAAGTAGATAATCCATAGATGCAAAATTTGGGGTCAGAAGAAATAGACACCTAAAGAATGATGCATATCATGCTAAAGATAGTCTGAGAATCTTAGATAATTTTTTAATTCAACAAATATTTACAGAACATCTATTTTACGCCAGGCACTCTGCCTTCGCTTAAGTATTCTGAAGAGTAAAATTAACCCAACAACTTTTCTCTTCACACCCACCTTATCGATAATACTGTTAACAATGAGAGGATTTTTCAAAATGTGCTGCCCAATCCCCGTGTTGAAAGTGAGTCCTAGAAGAAGACAGATAACAGCCTTAATTTCCCCAGTAAGATTAGCTATCAGCCCATCCAGAGAAACAAGCAGGACGAGTGGGGGGGGGCAAGCATTCGGTGCCAGTGACAAACGTCGCATCCCAGGCTGGGACTGCCATCTCCGAGTCCCTCACTGAGGCCCCAACCCCACTCCCGCTCCACCGCTCCTGCGGCTCGGGTCTCGCTCCGCGCCGGGATCAGCTTCCTCCTCCCGGCAGTCCACACCTCCGGCGCTCTGGAGCTCCCGGCGCTGTTCTTGCCGCTGGCGGCGATGGACGCTCGCCCCCGACTTGACCTTCGGCATCTCAGCAGGAAGCTGGCCCAGCATCGGTGAAGTCAGGGGGCACCAAAGCGGGGCTGCCCAAACCTCCCCCCGACGTAGGCTTCACAAGGTCCCGCACCATGTGGAGAAGGGGCAGGCCCGCTTCCGCGCCTCCGCCCGCCCGGGACACGTAAGTGGGCAGAGCTTGCAGCCCAGTGGCCCCCGGGAATTGTAGTCTCCAGCTGCTGGAACGCCTCGGCCAAGGAACCACCCTTCCCAGAAGACCCTGCGCCACCGAGCCTGGCAGTTCGGATTGGCTGATGTAGAGCGGAGGCGGGACGTCCCTCGCGTATCTGCGTGCAGGCCCTTAAGGAGTGTGGCACTGTCTCCCTCTGGGTTAATGTAAGTATGTGAACGTTTTATTGTGCTATGTTTTGGGAGCGCAGACAGTCTGAGGAGGGTTCTTTCAAATGTCTTTTCCCTGTTTCCCTTCAGATTATGGAGTGAGAAGCCCAGTATTTGGGAATAAAGTTCGTGCTGCTCTGGGGGAATTTGTTTCTCTGCTTCCTGCTCTGTGGAAGACTCAGTTGGAATCATCTCCAGTTCCACTAGGACTTCTGACTGTTTCACTGTCCTTTGTACCTCGTCATTCATTCCCTAAACATTTATTGAGCTCTAGCCGCGTATTAGACACTGCTGAGTATTCGTAGTTAAGTGAGAAGCTGATCTCAAAGTTTAATCTATTGAGAGATATTGACAAAAATGTCCAAAACACTAAATGTGATAATAAATGTTTTCGATACTGTGAAAAGGCATTGTACTCAAATCAAAGCTCCTCCACAACTAATTTGCTGCTAGTGTAATGGCTCTCCGTCTTTTGTGTGTCTTTGAAAAAAGCCTCTTCCTGGCACTAAAGCTGACTCGCCGCTGAGAAATTGTTGGATTCTCAGACCTTAGTTTCAGTCCCTCCTTTCTTTGCTGTAATTCTAATTTAGGGGGAAATTTTGCAGATATCCTAGTGACAGCTTCAACTTTCTATTTCAGTCCGCTAGTCATTAATTTATTCCACAGTTCTGGAATATTCTACAATAGCTAGTCATTGTCAAATGCTAGGAATAAGGACATGGATGTGAGACCATCTTTTTTCTTTTTTGGGGGTTTTTTTTTTTTGGTACCGGGATCGAACTCTGGACCCTGCGCTTTCGAGGCAGGTGACGGAACCACTGAGGTAAATCCCCGGCTCCCAGATACCATCCTTTTTTAAAGAATTCAAGAAAACAAAAGGAGTGAGGAATTGAGATTGAGGAGAAAAGAGATAATAATGATTGCTGAGCAATTACGTACCAGGTACTTTATAGGTACATTATTTATTTTAGCCATTCCAAATAGTTCTTTGAGGGAGATCTTATTATATCCATTTTGATGCTTTTTTTTTTTTTTGGTACCGGGGATCGAACTCGGGTCCTTGCGCTTGCGAGGCAGGCGACGGAACCACTGGGCTAAATCCCCGGCCCTATTATATCCATTTTATAGATGAGGAAACAGAGCGACAAAAACGTGTAATACCTTCCTCAAGATCACATAAAATGACAGATGCATGTTGAAACTAGGTCTCTGTATTTCAAAGATTATATGCATTAGAAGCAGTATGATCATAGCACTATGGCTTTTCTTTGAATTGAAACCATTTACAAAATGTAATATTTGAGCTGTCTTCAAATATCAAAGGGCGATCAATCCTCTGACTACCTAGAAAGGGGAATGGCAAGGGCTAAACAGAAAAAAGACAATAGAGACTTGTATAATTTCAAAGTATATGGGAGGCCAGGAAGTCAGTGCCTCAGAGTGGGCAAAGACCAAGACTCTCCAAGCTAGCCACTATTTATTGGGTACACACAATAATTGGAGGGAGCATCAGGTG